ACATAAGCAAAAAGAAAAAAGCCGGAAGTGGTGCTGTGGCTCAAGTGGTAGAGTGCTAGCCTTGAGCTGAAGAGCTGAGGGACAGCGCCCAGGCCCCACAACTGGACCCAAAAAAAAAAAAGCTTAACTAGAGATGAAGGGGATGAGTTGAAGCCCCAGTAAGGGCATAAAAACAGAAACAACTAAAGAACAACTAAGAGCAACTAAAAGATATTAGAAGGATCTAAAAAAAATTTTTTTTAAGGTTTATCTGTGTTGCAATCAAAACTTGAATGCGGGATGGGGACAGGAGGGAAAAAGTGGAAGAGAGCAAAGGAAGGGGTAATATTGTCCAAAAAGAAATGAACTCTTTACCTGATTTATTTACCTGATATATGTAACTGTAACCTGTCTGTATATCACCTTTATAATAATAAAAAGTTACTATATAAACAACAAACAACAACAACAACAAAAGACCAACTTCAGACCACATTTAAGAATGAGGCAGCCAGATGCCAGTAGCTCCTAGCTACTCAGGATGCAGAGATCTGAGGATGATGATTCAAAGCCAGCTCAGGACTTTCTTATCTGCAATTAACCACCAGAAAATAGGAAGTGGTGCTGTGTCGCAAGTGGTAAAGTACTTGCCTCACTAGGACAGTGCCCAGGCCAAGAGTTAAAGCCCCTCGACCAACCAAAAAAAAAAAAAAAAATGAGGGCAGAAGCCAGGCACAATGAATCATGTATATAATAATAGCTACTTGGGAGACTGAGATTGGGAGCCAGCCCAGGCAAAAATCAAAAGTTCATGAGACACCCCGTATCTCAACCAGATTTTAAAATAAAGAGAGGAGTCAGAGGTATGGCTCACTTGGTAGAGCCCTAGCCAATGAACAAAGGCAGCTGGTACTGAGTTTGAATCCTGGTGTCAGACCTAAAAAACAGAATCAAAATCTAGGAATGATGATACATGCCTATGATACTAGCTAAAAAAAATAAAGCCGGGCAATGGTGGCTCATGCCTGTAATCATAGCTTCTTAGGAGGCTGAGATCTGAGGATGGCAGTTCAAAGCCAGCTCAGGCAAGAAAGTCCAAATGCTTATCTCCAATTAAACACCAGAATACTAGAAGTGACACCCTGATTCAAAGTGGTAGAGTGCTAGCCTTGCGCAAGAGCTCAGGACCATTGCCCAGGTCCTGAGTTCAAGCCCCAGGCAGGCAGAGAGAGAGAGAGAGAGAGAGAGAGAGAGAGAGAGAGAGAGAGAGAGGCTGAGCATTTCAAAACTGAATTATTACATTGGAAGTCAATTAGGAATTTTTTGAGTTTTAGGAACAGGAGGAACAATTCAAAACTCCATAATAAGTTTCAGGAAGTAATCTCATTTTACCTGGTACTTTGAAGGGTACAACATCAGAAAGGTGTCCTTCATCCTGTGCCTTCTTGGCCAGACTGTGAGAGCGCAATGCGTACTCATCCTGTTCCATTCGAGAAATACCAAAGGCAGCAGCCAGTCTGTCTGCAGAGTGGCCCATGGTCTCACTGGTAGAGAACTCGGCCACTGCAGGGAGCTAGGGAGGGAAACATCAAAAGCAGGTACATTGTTACGAGGTCTTATATGATATGAAGATAGTTTTGGCATTACTTGGCAAACTGAACATCTATTTGTTAACTAGGTGTGGCACATGCCTCTAATCCCAACAGTCAGGAGTATGAGGCAGATGGACCACAAATTTATGCCAGCTTGGGATACATCATAAGACAAAGGAAGCTTGTGAGCAAGGCATCTCTAGAAAGCTCTAGACAGAACTCACACAGTCAAATTTTCTAACTACCACTTCTCCTTCTCCCCATTTGATCAAATAATTATCCTTTCCCATAACCAAGAGAGTCTAGTTATTGGAATACGCCTGAGACCATGCTATTGTATCGAATTCTAATCTATGCCAAGGGACACTCTGGTAAGTCATCTCTATTTACATAAAGCTCCCAAGTCTTACCTCAGGTGTCAAAAAATTCAACCTGAATTTAGAGAGTAAAGTCAGTCGCTGGCCTATTGTCTTGGCTTTATTGAGATCGAGCATCATTTTCCTCATTTTCCTTGAATGACGAATGGGGACATCGGACATTAACTCGACACCACCAGCCACAACCACATCACACTGGCCAGAGGCAATCAGGCCAACAGCTACAGGGCACAGGTTATATACATAATGAACATCTTTCACAGAAAATAACCAGTCATTGACATTTAAGCTTTGATTAAAATATTGTTTAACATTTTTCTGTTTGGGACATCTGTAATTAAAGTTTTCATTTTTTTCAGAGGGTGTGTGTGTGTGTGTGTGTGTGTGTGTGTGTGTATGTGTAAGTTTTCATTTTTTTCAGAGGGTGTGTGTGTGTGTGTGTGTGTCAGTTGTGGGGTTTGAACTCAGGGCCTGGACTCTGTCCCTGAGCCTCTTTGTGTTCAAAGCTAGTGCTCTACCACTTCAGCCACAGCGTCACTTCCAGTTTTTGAGTGATTTATTGGAAATAAGAGTATCAGGGAACTTTTTTGCCAGGACTGGCTCAAGTGGTAGAGCGCTAGCCTTGAGCTGAAGAGCTGAGGGACAGCACCCAGGCCCAGAGTTCAGGCTCCACGACTGGACAAAAAAAAAAAAAAACTGGAAGTAAAGCTGTGGTTCAAAGTAGCAAAACAGAGACGGTGCCCAGGCCTTAAGTTCAAACCTCATGACTGATTATAAATAAATAAATAAATAAACAAACAAACCCACAAGACAGTATATTGGAAATAAACTTCACAACTTGGGGACGGGTGGGGGGAAGTGAGGGAGTGAGGCAGGCGAGGGAGAGAAGGGACAGTGAAAGAACCACAGGGAAGGGGTAACAATGCTCAACAAGAAATGAGCATTGCCTTACTCATGTAACTGTAACCGCTCTCTACAGTATCTTTATAATAAAATTAAAAAATTTTTAATAATAAATAAATAGCCAGGCATGGGTGGCTCACACTTGTAATCCTACCTATTCAAGAGGCTGAGATCTGGGATCTGGTTTGAAGTGAGCCTGGGCAGGAAAGTATATGAGACTCTTATTCCCAATTAACCACCAAAAAGCCAGAAGTGGAACTGTGGCTCAAGTGGTAGAGCACTAGTGCTGAGTAAAAAATGTTCAGAGACAGCATCCTGAGTTCAAGTCCCAGGACTGACTAAAAAAACAAGTCTAAAAATACTTTGGGATACCATGGTGCACCGGAGGAAAGTTAATTCAGGACCTAGGAACATTAGTTTCTTGATATAATCACAGAGTCAACTCAAATAAACCAGACTATCTGATGTATTTCCAGCTTTTAGAAAAGCTTGTCCCCCCTATAGATAATATTAATTTCTACTACATGCCAGACAAATTCTGGCTTTTGAGATCTAAAGCAGCCTACCTCCTTCTTTATGGTACCAGCAAGTATGCTGTTGCTCTAACTGGGAGTTTGTCACATGTTACACAGAGGGAAGAAGCCTCTGGCTGTCTCTGGCATCATCTTCCATCACCATGAGCTAAGCTGCCCAACCTGGCCTTGATACATAAAACAGCACTTGGATGCTATTCCTTCCAACTGTTTTGCCTTGTCAGGGCAGATGCTACACAATGTCTCACAATCTTACTGAAGTTTGTTTAAAAAAAAAAAAGTTGCAATGATTGGCAATGAATGCTAAGGATATAGGGGAAAATGGAAGAGCTTCACCTTCTACAACAGGGCTGGTGGTGGGGGCAGCAGGATCCTAGCATCATGGGGAAGCATCCTATTGGAATCATGGAGGTTTAAAACCCTGTAGGATATAAACTATTCCTGTTTTTTTTTTTTTTTTTGGCCAGTGCTAGGGCTTGAACTCAGGGTCTAGGCACTGTACCTGAGTTTCTTTTTGCTCAAGGCTAGTGCTCTTTTACTTGAGCCACAGCACCACTTCCAGCTTTTTCTGTTTATGTGGTACTGAGGACTCAATCCCAGGGCTTCATGCATGCTAGGCAAGCACTCTACTACTAAACCACATTCCCAACCCTATAAACTATTCTTAAAAATAGTTATTATAAAGGTGATGTGTTGAGAAAGGGGTTACAGTTATGGAAGGCAGGCAAAGAGCACATTTCTTTTTGAACAATGTCACCCTTTCCCTCACTCTCTATAAACTATTCTTCCCTCCAGTTTGGTTCTGAAGCATCGCCTTAGAGAACAGCAGCTCTGGCTGACAACCCCTGCTGCAGCCAGACTAGTTCTGGTGGAGAAACTACACCAACAGATGTGAGGCCCAGGTTAGAAGAGTAAGCAAAATTCTGAGAACTATTGTCAAAACCCTCTTTTAGTTATGGTTGTTATCATCAATTAGTTGTACAGAGCAGTTTTATAGATCTCATCTCCTCTGCCATTTTCCTTTATTCCCCTCCCTCCTTCTTAAATCAATCTCAATAAGCTTCATTGTTCCATTTTAACACATGTACACCCTCTCTGTTCACCTTCTCCCCTTTCTTTTTTTTTCTAAACTGCTAATTTCCTGAAACGCTATACTTTTATTTATTTATTTTTGTTGGTCATGGGGCTTGAACTCTGGGCCTGGGCACTGTCCCTCAGCACTTCAGCTCAATGCTAGTGCTCTACCACTTGATCCACAGTGCCACTTCTGGCTTTTTCTGCTTATGTGGTGCTGAGGAATCAAACCCAGGGCCTCATGCATGCAAGGCAAGCGCTCTACCACTGAGCCACCTTCCCAGCTCCACCTTCTCCCCTTTCATTAGTACCCACAACCCTGACAGGATCTGTTTTACATTCTTGTCATTCTGTGTGTGTGTGTGTGTGTGTGTGTGTATGTACTCTAATTGTTCAAAGAGGTTTCACTGTCAAAATCCCCAAATTTTAATGTGACGTTTAAAAAAACACAAAGATATCTAGACTATTTACTTGTATTAAGATTAATTTTTCAAAAATCATGTAAAGGCAAGGAAGGAAAATTCACATGAACCCTTACATACCTGTGGTCATGGCTTGGTTGGAAGAGATGCAAGCCATGGTGACAGTGTGAGCAGGGGTCTTGTCAGAGAAGCCAGCTCCGAGGGCAGCCTTGAAAAAACACAGGGAATGGTGATCATTTGTGAAGAAAAGGTACCACATAAGTGACAATCTGAGCTCTATTTAAATCGGGAAGAAGTTGTTTCATTTTTGTTTTGTCATTTGTGGGGCCTGAACTCTGGGCCTGGGTGCTGTCCCTCAGCTCTTCAGCTCAAGGCTAGTCTCTACCACTTGAGCCATAGCACCACTTCTGGCTTTTTCTCCTTATGTGGTGTTGAGGAATTGAACCCAGGGCCTCATGCATGCAAGGCAAGCACTCTACCACTGAGCCACCTTCCCAGCCCAGGAAGAAGTTTTAACATGCTATTAGACAATAAAATTAAGCATATCACAAAAGCTTGCTAATTTTCTATCTAGCCATTCATTGATTTATTCAAACTCCTAGTAACTAGTCCCCTTTTTGTTTTTATAGCAATGGAAGTGGAATCCAGGGCCTCACATATGCTAGCAAACACTCTCACTGAACTACCTCTGTAGCCCTTTGCATTTTGAGACCCAGTCTTGCTAAGTTGGCCAGACTGGTGTCAAGCTTGGTATTCTCAACTTCCTCGGCATCTAGGATTTTAAGCAGATGCTACTGTGTTCAACTCCCTAGTAATCTGTTTCTTGGATATAATACACTACTACACTTAGCTAAATTCTTTTTTTTTTTTTTTTCCTTTTGGCGGTACTGGGTTTTGAATTAAAATCTTGTGCTGGCTAGACAAGTGCTCTCCCATTTCAGCTCCACCTCTGGTCCTTTCTTAGCAACGCTTTGCTCAGTCTTTTTTCAAGGATATCATTTTTTTTTTTTTTTTGTTGGTCGTGGGGCTTGAACTCTGGGCCTGGGCGCTGTCCCTCAGCTCTTCAGCTCAAGAGGAGCACTCTACCACTTGAGCTACAGCGCCACTTCCGGTTTTCTGGTGGTTTTATTGGAGATAGGAGTCTCACGGTCTCTCCTGCCTGGGCTGCTTTGAACCGCGATCCTCAGATCTCAGCCTCCTGAGTAGCTAGGATTAGAGGCGTGAGCCACCAGCGCCCGGCTATCATTTGATTTTAACTCATTTAAAATTTCAAATAGACCCAGGTACTGGTGATTCATGCCTGTAATCCTGACTACTCAGGAGGCTGAGATCTGAGGGTCACAGTTTGAAGCCAGCATGGACAGGAAACTTCATGAGACTCATATCTCCAATTAACTACCAGAAAACCAGAAATGGCACTGTGGTTCGAGTGCTTGCCTTGAGCGGAAGAGCTCAGGGACAGCAGCCAGACCTTGGGTTCAAGCCCCATGACCTACAAAAACACAAAACAAAAAAAGAAAAAAAAAATAAAGCTCCCTGGCTAAGGGAAAGCTCAGATTGTAGGACCCTAGACCCCAGCACTGCTAGAAATAAATAAATAAATAAGCTTCTAACTCCGTATACCCTTCATTATGAAATTCTAAATCCCATTACAAGGAATTCTGAATCTACTTAATACTTAGAATACAAACTTCCTTAATTTCCTTACCTTTATACTGTATTGTTTTTTTTTTACCATTAATTAACTGTAGGAATAGAAATGTGTCACAGCAGTACAATCTTAGTATTTTCAGGCAGGCTTGATCCTAAGTGCCCAACTGGCCTTGCTTAAAAACTGCCTAAAAAGTACCTTTATTTTGTCAGTCATAAGGCTTGAACTCTGGGCCTGGGCTGTTCCTCAGCTTTTCAGCTCAAGGTGAGTGCTCTACCACTTGAACCATAGTGCCATTTCCCTAAAAAGTACTTTTTAAAGAACTTACTGTTGAGGGGATGGAAGAGGGAGAGGACTGGAGGAAATGAGGGGGAAATGATAAAGATCAAGATGCACTATACTCATAAATTGACTGGCTGAATTAAAATCCCTTTGCAACAGCTACTTAAATAAACTTTTACTGCTTACTCAGTCTAAACCAATTCACAAGGACGACAGAAGCAAGTATTCAGGACAGAGAAGAGTTCTAGAGTGGAGCAAAGGTAAAGGGCATTTAAGTCAGAATGGCCTGATCCTCCCAAGGGCCTTTATAGCACATGTTTCTCTTGGCCCCAACTGACCCTCAGGTTGGAAGGAGTTTTAAATAGAAGGTAGCTGGTGACCCTTGTCCACATGCTTGCTTCTATTTAAAGTCCTAGTAATTATCAAGCAGAAAGGAGAAAGGAAGAGGCTGCTTAGTTAAGCTGGAAGGCAGGGAAATATGCTGAGGTCTTTCAGCAAAGTCAGGAAGCCATTAGGATTTTGTATTTATGCTAAAAACAGAGACAGAGCCTAAAGAAATTCTTTAGCCAGAAGTTATTAGTTTTTTAGGTTACATATGATTTTACAGAAAAGTTCTCATAAGTATCCCCTCAACTCAATCTTTCCCTGTAGCCACAGGGGAAAATTATCTGGAGTATAAAGTGACAGGTAATAGTATAGGAGAGAGGAAGGGAACTGCCCCATATCAATCAATAGTTGAGATCTGCTATCTAAAACTTGCAGAAAAAAAATCTGAAAGAAATTTCCATGATTTAAGATTTAGGAAAGAAAATACAGAAATTTTGAAACAGATAAAGTATATGCTTTTTTTTTTATTTTACATCAACTTTATTCTCAGAGCAACCTGGGTGAGTTAAAGCCTCATATTGCCAACTGTTGTAGTAATTATATTCCTTCTTATATGCACCAAAATCTCCTATCAGCAATAAGTTCTGGGTTGCAAAAGAGGATTTACTATTTGCACCTATCTGTAAGGCTTTGTTACAAATTAAACAGAGACACACACAAGTGCTCCACATGTGCTTTTTTAAGTCTCTTTAAAAGTCACATTAGCTTCAGAATATAAATGGTAAAAATGTACTATGAACAGCTTTATGGCTTTATTTGTTCATAAAATTGTCTCTTTTGATAAATTCAGTTCAGAAATGTGAAGAGACAAAGGCAGGGCTCTCATGAATTCTAGGCCAGCCTGGGCTACAATGGGGAATTTCAGGTAAGTCTGAGCTACACAGAGAGACCCTGTCTCACAAAACGTGTACATACAAAAGAAAACAAAACATTTAGGAGAAGAACAAAATTCTCTTTTTGTTCTCAATTTGCTCCTGCTCCTCAACAACACACGGTTATTTTCTGTGGGCTTGAGCAGTGTGAGGACTTGAGCAGTTGTAGTATTAACTGGCAGACAAAATCAAAATAGCAAAACAGACATATACTCCTAGTCCTGCTTACTTGCTTTTCTAACAATGAAAGTTATCACCCTCACAACTATACCTAACACAAATACAAGCATAAACCAACAATTCTATGAATATGTTTTGTAGCCAACTTTATTCCAACAATCACTTTTCAAACTGAAAGCCTAGTAGGCGTGTTTAAACTATCCACAGTGAAATGCCTGTGGGACTGGTCATTATCTCCATTGCTCAATGAACACTACATGGCAGTATGCCAACTAGGGCAAAAGTAAACCCTTGTGAAATAGTTACTTAAAAAAAACTGCTTTGCTGCCATATACTCAATGGGAACAATGCACAGGCAAGGCTACCTCCAACTATAAAAATATAAAATTAGCTGCAAACTGTTGAAGTTTTAGAATTAGAAGCACTAATGTCCTAATATTACTAAAAGTACTCTCAGCTTCAAGCTGTCATTGTTTCTATTTTCCTAAGCCAAGAAACAAAGTAATACTTCCAAAAACTGCTCATATAAGTGATTTGATTTATAGTAAACTATGAATATATACTAATTCTGAATTTGATTTATAGCATTTTGTGTGTGAACGGGTGGGTACTGTGGGTACTAGGGCTTGAACTCAGGGCTTCACACTTTCCCTCAGCTTTTTTGCTCACGACTGGTACACTACCTCTTGAGCTAAACCTCCAGCTCTGGCTTTTTGCTGGTTAATTAGACATAAGAATCTCTCAGATTTGTCTGCATAGGCCAGCTTTGAAGCTAGAGCTTCAGATTTTAGCCTCCTGAGTAGCTATGATTATAGGTCACTGGTGTTCATATTAATGTTAACTTTAAATTAACTGTACTTTTTTTTTTGTCCGTCGTAGGGCTTGAACTCTGGGTCTAGGCACTATCCCTCAGTTCTTCAGCTCAAGGCTAGTGCTCTACCACTTGAGCCACAGCACCACTTCTGGCTTTTTTCTGCTTATGTGGTTCTGAGTAATCAAACCCAGGGCTTCATGCATGCAAGGCAAGCACTCTACCACTGAGCCACCTTCGCAGCCCCCTTAACTATACATTTAATTAGTGGATTTAAAAGTTTTTAAAAAGTAAATTCTGGGCTACAGATGTTGCTAACAGTGGAGCATTTACCTACTGTGTGCAAGGACCTCAGCTAGATCCTGCAAAAAAAATGAACTAACAAATTCTATTATTTGAAATTCAAATTGATTCTCTTATCAATCTATTTAAATATTATCAAGTCTGTTTTACTCACCTCTCTAGCCACATTGCTTGTTTTCACTTCCTGAATAACCGTGCCAAAGATGATATAATCAACAATGTCCTTTGGAACATTGGTTCGATGCAATAACCCCCTGAAAGTAGAAATCCAAAGCAAAGAAACATTTCTTCACATATTATGGTCCTGCCATAGATCTTCACATAAAACTGTGTAGCTCATACTTGTGGTCCTAGCTACTTAGCAGGCTGAGATCTGAGGATCATGGTACAAAGCCAGTCAGAGCAGGAAAGTCTATGAGACTCTTATCTCCAATTAACCACCAAAAATCCAGAAGTGGATCTGTGGCTCAAGTGGTAATGCACTATCCTTGAAGAAAAAAGCTCCAGGTACAGTACCCAAGCCCTGAGTTCCCTAGGACCAAAACACAAACAAACAAACAAACAAAAAAAATCCCTGAACTTCTTTAAAAAGACAAGGTAAGGCCTAGTTTGGGGTATAGCTCAGTGGTAGAAAGCACAGCTGGCACACTCGAGGCCCTGTGTTCACTCCTTAGCATTGTAAAAAAACCAAAAAGGTAAAAAACAGAATTTAAGAAGGCAGAGATGGTTATCTCTGAAAAGCATTTGGCACTTTATCAACTAAGAAAAGAAGGTTTTGGGGGTTTTATGGTCATGGGGCTTGAACTCTGAGCCTGGGTGCTGTCCCTGAGCTCTTCAGCTCAAGGTTCATACTCTACCACTTGAACCACAGTGCCACTTCCAGTTTTCTGGTGGTTAATTGGAGATGAGTCTCATGGCTATAATCCTAGCTACTCAGGAGTCTGAGCTCTGAGTATCGCAGTTCAAAGCCAGCCTGGGCAGGTAAGTCCATGAGACTCTTATCTCCAATTAACCACCAAAAAACCAGAAGTGTCATTGTGGCTTAAGTAGTAGAGTGCTTGCCTTAAGCTGAAGAGCTCAGGGACAGCAGCCAGGCCCAGAGTTCAAGCCCTACAACCGACCAAAAAAAAAAGTCTCATGGTCTTTCCTGCCTGGGCTAGCTTTGAACTGTGATTCTCAGATCTCAGCCTCCTGAGTAGCTAGGATAACAGACATGAGCCACTTGTGCCCGGTGAATGAAAGATTTTTAAAGTCAATATTTGATCTTCAATTGGTAATAAGAAGTTAAAATAATTTTGAATAAGACAGTATAGATAAGATAGTATACTAATGATGTTAGTAGAAAGTTCAATTAAAAAGAGGAGAGATAAATACAAAATCAAAGACATTCACCAAAAAAAAAGAATGGTGCATTTATGACCATAAAATCATAATGGAATGGAAATTATGGAATTACAGTGAATAGATAGTAAGTAGAAAAGCAATTGTGACTGGAATTCTGTAAGTCTGGCTGGAAAAAAACAACAAGAATTAGAATAGGCATAAAGGTCAATTGAAGGAGTTTTTCTAGCTACAATAAACCTCTGGCTGCCTAAAGATATGAAGGCACACTGTTTCTGGAAAATAAATGCAATAATGCTACTTCTAACCTAGGGTCATACATTTTATGGCCCTCATCAAATTATTCATCTATCTCAGTTTCATTTAACCATATCTAATTTTATATGTTTACTTTATTTACAAATGAATACTTGGTTTTTTTTTTACTAGGCTTTATTCTAGAAAAATGCCTATGTAATCTGTTTAGCTAATCTTATGCAATAATTAAGCTTCCATCCAGACAATCATCACATGTTGTTTTGGCTGGCCAGTCAATAAAGAATACTATCATGAACTCAGGGCTTGAGCTCTGTCCCTGAGTCTCTCTGGGCTTCAGGCTACCACCTGAACCACAGAACCACTTCCGACTTTTTCTGAGTAGTTTATTGAAGATAAGAGTCTCATGGACTTTCCAGCCTGCGCTGGCTTCTAAGTCGACCACTAGAATTACAGGCGTAAGCCATCAGCACCTGACTAGGCAGGAGTAATCTTATAAGACCTAACTGGTATGTCTTTCTTACCATACACAAACATTAGTAGATCCTAGATATGAAAAATCTATGAACCATTATACTTCAAGCGCAAACACTAGAGAAAATGCCTCTATGAAGTGTGAAGTAATATGAAATTGTATTTACTTACAAAAGTGCTGCTCTAGCCAAATCATGTGGCATCAGGTCTTTATACCTGGAGGAAGAAAACAGATAACTGGAACCAAAACCCAAGCCTAAATAAAGGTTTTTTTTCTCTTCTATATGAAATACCTAAAGATTACATGTTACTATTAAATATCCTGCTGAAAATGATAAAATTCACTAAGTTGTAATAATTCAAAACAATAGTGTGAATTTGCTATCTGTCATCCTTAAAAATCTAGTAAGCCAAATGCTTATATAATTTACTGAGAATCTAACAAAAATTATGCCCTACTTTACATTATGCACCATGGCATGTTGAATATTCCTTAAAATTATATCTCATCTTTTGAGTACTTTTTTGGTTAAATTTCTTTTTTTTTTTTTTTGGGGTCCAGTCGTGGGGCCTGAATTCTGGGCCTGAGCGCTGTCCCTCAGCTCTTCAGCTCAGGACTAGCGCTCTACCACTTGAGCCACAGCGCCACTTCCGTTTGTTTTTTTTTCTTTTTGCTTATGTGGTGCTGAGGAATCAAACCCAGGGCCTCATGCATGCAAGGCAAGCACTCTACCATTGAGTCACCTTCCCAGCCCCTTTTTGGTTAAATTTCTAAAAGCGCACTATTTTTTAATGCCTAAAAGGATACAGGAGATACATTAACACTGTATGTGTATGTGTGTGTGTACACACATGTGTGCATGCTGGTACAAGGCTTGAACTCAAGGCCTTGTGCTCTTGCTTGGTTTTGCTCATGGCTGGTACTTTACCACTTTAACTATACCTCTAGTCCTAAATTAACACTTTTAAAGAAACATTATCTTTTTTTTTTTTGTCAGTCATGGGGCTTGAACTCTGGGCTTGGGCACTGTCCCTGAGCTTCTTCAGCTCAAGGTGAGCGCTCTACCACTGGAGCCACAGTGCCACTTCTGGTTTTCTAGTGGTTTATTGGAGATAAGAGTCTCACAGACTTTCCTGCCTGCACTGGCTTTGAACCGTGATCCTCAGATCTCAGCCTCCTGAGTGGCTACGATTACAGGCGCGAGCCAACGGCGTCCAACTAGAAACATTTTCTTATATAACCACTATGAACTTATTAAAGTGAAAAAATAACATGGCACAATACTATTCATTAGGTTGCTAACTGTATTTGGATCTCACCAGTTTTTATACTGGTATCTTCCAGAAGCTGTTCCAGAAGCTAATCCAGAATACCATATTCCACTCACTTACTTATGCCCCCTCAGTCTATTTTACATTGTAGTTTTGTTTCAACCTTTCCTTGTCTTTTGTGACAGGGACACTTCTCAAAGCCTGGGTAATGTATTTTGTGAAAGAGCATCAAAGAAGTGTTCATCTCACTACTTCATTTCAGCAGGTACATGACATCAAGATGACTTATTACTGGTGAAGTTAACCAGATCACTTGGTACAGGTGGTGCCTGCCAGTTTTCTCCACCCCAAGTCTGTTAGTTTTCCCTCTCTATAAACTTAACTTATTAAAAGTGAAACACACTGGGTACTGGTGGCTCATGCTTATAATCCTAGCTACTCAGGAAGCTGAGATCTGAGGATTGTGGTTCAAAGCTAGCCAGGCAGAAAAGTCTGTGACACTCTTAACTCCAATAAACTACTCAGAAAAAGCTGAAAGTGGTGCTGTGACTCCAGTGGCAGAGCAATAGTCTTGAGCACAAAGAGCTCTGTCCAAGCCCCATGACCAACAATAACAACAAAAAAAGTGAATCACTAAATCCAGCCCTCTCTTAAGGGTAGAATTAAGTTCTACCTCCTAAAAACAAGCTATCTGGATCTACATTGGGCTTTCAAGATGTTGTAAGCTAGAACCATACTAGATTTGTTTAGGAGAAAGGATAAAACACAGTTTGCCATAATATTTCACCTCTTGCTTGACTTACCCTATACTAATTTCTTGGAGAAACTCTCCATGTATTAGCTCACTAATGGTATTATTACTTATTGGACTACATTTACAAAGATCACTTTAGACAGAATCTTTTAAAAAAAAGAGTAAATTAAGACGCTCATTTCATACTTACGATGTGCCTGACAGCAAAAATGGAATGCGGACACCCTCCACCACCACGATATTTCTTACATTGGGTTTAGCCAAAGTCTTCTTCGATTGCGTTTGGACAGCTTTGAAATAAAGTTCAAAGAACTATTAACTAAAATATATAAAAATCAGGAGTAGGTGTAACTCATTGTGTAGTCCTGTCTACACATGTAAGGCTTTGGCTTCAATCCTAGAACCCTAAAATACATAAAGTTACATGATTTTACCTTTTTGGAGCAGTCCTGAGCATTGAACTCAAAGCTTTATACTTGAAAGGTACGTACCCTACCACTTCAGTCATATCCCTGACTCTATATTTTTTATTACAAAATTATATAATTCAGTGTTAAGTTGCATGACCATTTATTAATCTTATTTATTTATTTATTGCTAATATTGGGGTTTGAACTCAGAGCCTTATATTCTCACTTGGCTTTTTCACTCAAGGCTGGTACTCTACCACTAAGCCATAGCTCCACTTCTGACTTTTTGCTAGAGTGAAAAGAATCTTATGGACTCTTCTGCCTGGGCTGCCTTTCTCAGATCAAAACCTCATGAGTGGCTAGAATTATAGGTGTGAGCCACTGTGCCCAACACACACACACACACACACTCTCTCTCTCTCTCTCTCTCTCTCTCTCCCTCTCTCTCTCTCTCTCTCTCTCCTGGGGCTTGAACTCAGGGCCTGGGCACTGTCCTTGAGCTTTTATGTTCAAGGCTAGTGCTCTACCACTTGA